CCCTTACCCCGACCCATCTACCATCGGAGACGGAATCCCATGGGTGGGAAATTAAAAGAGGCGGGAGCCCTTAAAGGATTTGGTTGCTACGCTGCCAAGAACCTACTGGTAAGAAGGCCACACTAGAGTCTACACTAACGAATACTGAACAGCGACACCTGTGATTGTTGTGAGTCACGGGTTGGTTGAGTTATGAATCTTCGTTCAGACGTAGATCCACAGAATAACAAACCTGTTCGCAGACTATGTAATGTGCTGAAGGAGCAGCTACTCGCATGTGAGGCACGCAGATAAGCTCTAATCCATAGGCAAGAAATGTAAAGTCATTAGCGCATCTACTTTTTGGCACTGCCTAAAAAGGTGCGGCGAGAGTAACAACTCGAACATGGCCAGCTGAGCCATTGACATGTCAATTAAGAAAACTGGCGATGGATGCCCGACATGCAGTGACTCTAGCGTGGACGGACAAGCTGCAGACAGCGCAGTTATCTGTCCTGGAACTACTGCAAACCCTCTCTCTGAATCCGAGTCTTGCATCGTGTCTGTCTACAAGAGAAATATAAATCCAAAAACGACAAACGATCGGAATGCTTATTCCAACGACTGAGTGCACCTGTTTTCGGAAGGAATCTTCCAATCTTTAAAATACTGACTAGTATTTACCACAACGACCAGGCTCATAATTGGCGCAGAGAAAAAGGTAAAAGTTAATACATTTATTTTTGAGCGCCTCTACCGTATAGATAGTAGAAGGGGGCTCAAGGATATTACGAGTGGAATTTTATTACGAATCATCGACAAAACTGTGTTCGAACTAGCCTAGCTGTAGTAGAAAAAAGATGCACTTCAAAGCATAGTTACGGAGAACACAGTGCGGGTAGAGCTATAGCAGACGGCGACAGGGTGAAAAAACTATCATTAACCACGGGCGGGTCTACAAAGTAAACCAACCCTTTCGTCTTCGTCGACTTGAAACAAGTATTGGTTGCTTCTAGTTAGGCGACCGTATATGGGAACAGTACAATTGGTTTCCGAGGCAAAACAAGACACTTATGCTTCACCCTACAATCAGGCTCGATTTATGGCTGATAAGTCTACAAAAATAGAGATATTCCAAAAATTTAGCAGAGGCGGTTTCCAACTGGATTTCTTGGAGTTCTATAGACTTTCGTCGATCCCGCTTCATAAACTCGGTTGGTTAGCGTGCACGGATCGCTTCCGTTGGACATTCCCGGACCCAGCCCATCAAAGACCCAAGCAATCCGCCTCGCACTTCACAACACATCACCACTGGCCACACCAAGTGGAACGTACCTATCATTACATTGTGGACTTAATCCCACACTGTGCCGTGGCCAGTAAAAACAGAGCTACGGAGCTTCCGGTTATAATTGGAAAGGGATAGTGCAGTCTGCCCTAGTAAATTCGACTAGGACTGCGTTAAAATGTCA